CATAAAAAACTTTGGTGATGATATGGATGAGGAGAGCCTGAGGGAGCTCTTCAGTAAATATGGTGAGTCAGGCAGGCCATATTTCACTGGACTCTTTGAAATGACTCTGCTCCTGAACATGCATATACAGTGTTTTAGATCCTCTGAAGTAAAAGGTTATGGTGGTAAATAATGTTGCTGTGGTTGGATCTCTCCGTTGTCTAGGAAATGCCATGAGTATCCGCGTCATGACTGATGACAGTGGAAAGTCTCGAGGCTTTGGGTTCGTCAGCTTTGAGAGGCACGAGGACGCCCAGAAAGTAAGATGAACTAGATTTTTTTCTGACCACCAGGAAACGTTTAAAAAATTTCTGCCCTAAACGTTGATGTGGTTTTCTTGGTTGCTGTAGGCAGTGGATGAGATGAACGGCAAGGAGATGAATGGAAAACTGATCTATGTCGGCCGAGCCCAGAAGAAGGTCGAGCGGCAGACTGAGCTGAAGCGCAAGTTTGAGCAAATGAAACAAGATCGCATGACTCGCTACCAGGTACTGTTTCTTTTTCCAGCACAAATTGACCAAATCAAAACCAAAGCATACAGCTTGGTTCAACATTACTACCTGATATTGACAGTTTTGAATTCCATGATCAAATCATGTTCATATTCTTATACGTTGTCTGGTCAGTCACGAAAAATAGCAGCTTTGTCAAATTCAGTGCTCCTTCTTCAGTAGTTTGCACTGGCCAAAATAGCTGCAACAGTGACTGTAGTTCATGGGCCCCACGTTTCACCATAGACTCTGGGGATAAATATGTACTACAGACAAGAAAATGTATTGCATTATAAAGGAACAATCTATAAAGGAACATCTAGCATTACCATTAGAAAGCAAAATGTTTACACCCTTTCTATGTCTTTTTTTTTAGGGTGTCAACTTGTACGTGAAGAACCTTGATGATGGACTTGATGATGAACGCCTTCGAAAGGAGTTCTCGCCATTTGGCACCATAACCAGTGCAAAGGTAAGACTTCAGCTGTTTTCTTATTTTATCCATCAACTGTTAATAGAGATGGATGACTTCACTTCCACACAAGTAATGAATCCAAAATATCCTGGATATTAACACGTAGTGACGTCACACCGATACACAAGCTCAACCAATTTTCGAGTTTGTTTCAGCTGTCAATCACTTTCTACCTTGTTATGTAACCAAACGTGCTGGAAACGTGAAAGTACATTAGTGTGATAAGAACTACCTAAAATGACAAACGAAAAAATATATTTGACTTGTACTTGAGTTTTTTGTATGGCCCATCTACTAAGATGGAGTAGGCAGGATTTATGACTTGTACTGCAGCCAGTCACCAGATGGTGGCCGAGACCCATCTTTATATACAGCCTATGATTTTATCAGTAGCTGAGTTGGTCATCACCACTGAAACTCTGTAGCTACATAGTTAGTATGTGTACTATGCATACTATTGTTACTATTTGACGTGCAACTGATTTAATTGGATTCTCCTCTCAGGTGATGATGGAGGGTGGGCGCAGCAAAGGCTTCGGCTTTGTCTGCTTCTCGTCTCCAGAGGAGGCCACCAAAGCTGTGACTGAAATGAATGGACGCATTGTAGCCACCAAGCCGTTGTACGTGGCCCTGGCCCAGCGGAAAGAGGAGCGTCAAGCCCACCTGACCAACCAGTACATGCAGCGCATGGCCAGCGTGCGGGCTGTTCCAAACCCAGTCATCAATCCTTACCAGCCCGCTCCACCCTCTGGGTACTTCATGGCAGCCATACCTCAGACCCAGAACCGTGCCGCTTACTACCCAGCTGCTGGTCAGATGGCCCAGCTGCGACCGAGCCCACGCTGGACCACCCAAGGAGTCCGGCCACAGCGTGAGTATCCCTCTATCACTGCGTATATCGATAGTAATCTGACAAAAACTGTTTGTACTTGTACATGATGCCACCATGTTTTTCTGCATTCATAGACTTCCAGAACATGCCAGGTGCCATGCGTCCCTCAGCCCCACGGCCTCAGTCCTTCAGTACCATGCGGCCTGCGTCTCAGGTGCCTCGCATGATGTCCACCCAGCGTGTTGGTCAGTCCCTTATCCTCAGTCAATAGCTTTTTAGCTGCAAAGCAAATATTGTTCAACTGTATGGCTGCTTCTTGTATCTTTTATATAAGCATGTCCCGTTGTTGGCTCTTCTCCCTGCAGCTCAGTCTATGGGGCCCAGACCAGCCTCTGCAGCAGCTGCAGCTGCCGCTCCGGTGCGTGGAGTCCCTCAGTACAAATATGCTGCAGGAGTCCGAAATCCCCAGCAGCACATGAATGCTCAGCAACAAGTCGCCATGCAGCAGGTAGGAATGCACATTCCATTGTTCGGCCAGAACTCACCTATTTTGTCCTCTAGTTGCAAAAATAAAGTTGAGTGTGGATGTGCTTTAAAAATCTTCGTGTCCCTCAGCCTGCTGTCCACGTTCAGGGACAGGAGCCTCTGACTGCCTCCATGCTGGCCGCTGCTCCACCACAGGAACAGAAGCAGATGCTGGGTAAGATTCAGCAGTAGCTCTTCCTGAGAGTGTGCCATGTTAGCATGACATAGCATCTATTTCATTTAGTATGTACTACTTCTATCCTCAGGTGCCGTATGTAACATGTATTTACATGGTGTTCTTTCTATAACTTGGGACTGGTGGTGCTGGATTTATCTATCTAAGACTACATTTTAGCATTTGGCCCTTGGCATGGGTTGATTACATCCTGACTTGACTTGTCTGTTTATCACTCCTCTAGGTGAGCGTCTTTTCCCACTGATCCAGAACATGCATCCCAGCCTGGCCGGGAAGATCACTGGCATGCTGCTGGAGATTGATAACTCCGAGCTGCTCCACATGCTGGAGTCTCCAGAGTCTCTCCGCTCGAAGGTCAGTTCACTGATATTAGAGCTCAAATGATTACATCAGTCAGATGATTTTTTATAGACTAATATTGTCTAATTAAAGATATTTTTGTGATGGGGAATATGTAACACAAATTGTGAAATACATAAACTTATTACAAACAAATGAAAATTTAGCTTTGTGTCAAATTTGAGGAAATGATGTGCTGCTGCTAACATTAGTTCATTTCATGTTTGTAGGTGGATGAGGCTGTGGCTGTGCTTCAGGCCCACCAGGCCAAGGAAGCTGCCCAGAAGACTGTGACAAATTCAGCTGGTGTTCCAAGTGTCTGAACTCAAGGTACGAATTTAAGGAGAGGACATCAAGAAGTTACAGCTCATTACTCACGTTACACTAATACTAATAGTGGATTGAACTGTGACTACTGTGAATTTACTGTTCTCACTGTAAACGTATACAGTGTATTTATATCTTATTTTTGTGTTTTTACAGGAATGGGGAACCTTGAGAATAACTTCACCGATGGGGGAAAACAAAAACAACAAAAAAAAGAATCTAACAGTGAAAAAGTAAAAAATACACAAAACAAAGTAAAAAGAAGTCAAATAATATGTTAAAAAAGCAACAGAAACGAGTCTCCAGTCAGGCTCATCATAAACACCAGGCGAGTTTCGCTGAGTTAAAAAGAGAAAATGCACAAAAAAAGAGAAAAATTTAAAATTAAAAATGATGATTGAGGGGTTTTAGAAGAGTTTTGATTGAAAGCGTTCCTTTCTGCCATTTTATCCCTATTGAATGTTTGTTGCTTGCTTGAATAAAACTTACAAAATGATCAGTATGTGTCAGTTCATGACTGTGGGAGATGGTTATTGATGAAATACTGAAGTATGAGCCCTGATTTGATTTAAAGGTCCAGTGTGTAACATTTAGATGAAAGGAAACTATTGGCAGAAATTGAATGTAGAATAATCCTCATGATGTTTTCACTAGTTCGTTTCATCTGAATTGTATGAATTGTAGTTTTCTTTACCAAAGAAAGGGCCATTTAAATACTTAAATACCACCATAGCCTACTAAACTGAAGGCTACCACAGGTTCTTTTTCATGTTTGGAAGTAGAGGGTGAGGGGTGTTCAGCTGCAACACTTTCAACACTAGATACCACTGAATTCTACACAGTGTACCTTGAAGTGGTGGAAAAGGTTATAATGATAACGTGATGCTTTTTCAGTTTTCCTTCCTCTGGTGTAGCTTAACAGGTCGACAAATTTAAAACAGCCAGAAGTCTCTGGTAAAGGTTGCTCCTCTCCCCCACAGACGACACAGAAGCTCCTGAAACACCTTGTCTGTAGTCTGGCCGATACTTCCACACCATCATGATGTCATGATAATGCATGACCAGTGGCTAGAATGGCTTGCTCCTTTAACAAGGCTAGACACTCACAATTGCTTGCTGATGGGGTCTTTGTGGTCATGACGTAGCCTACTCTGATTCATCGGGCTTTCATCACATGACCACTTTCCGGCATTAGCCTTGGTGACAAGTGAATGCAACATGGATAATCAATACCAGCTGAAAAGGCTGTAATGCAGTTAATTCTGTGTTTCACAGTGAAACAACTTTGTAGCAGAGGAGCCATTATTCTAGCAATCTGCAACAAAAGACCAAATGCTTCCTGTTAACTCTGGCAACTGTTTGCTTTCCTGTTTCAACTGGCATGGGCATATCCAGTGTTGGTGAGTGGTCACTTGATATGCATCTTAATGCCTGTTAAGTAAGAATGGATGGAAATTAAAACTGATGCAGTGACAAAATGCTTGTGTGGACAGAAATCGTTAAAGTTTGAAAATGCCATTTTAGGTGTTATGTGGTGGTATGGATGTAGCCAGAGACCAAAAAGAGGAGCCACAGAAAAATACAGTATTAGGACCGTGATGCGTTTTTGAATATTGGAGCATGTAAACCTTTCCAAGTAATAATCCAAATTTAAATTATGAACCTGAATACAAGCAGAATATCTTTCCTTTAAATTCTCTAAAGTAAACAGATAAATCACCCTTCCTTTATATACACCCAGGCAGATGAAAAAACAAATACAGTTCAATACCATGATGTGTTCCAAGGTTTTTAATGGTGCTTTTGGACAAAGAAAATCAGTGTTAACGAGCACAGAAACACATTTTTATGTGGTGGCACTTTCATGCAAGCCGCTCCATGAACTCAGTCCTTGATGGAGAAGATGATGGTGTGGTGGCACGTTTGCATGTTTTTTGTAAAGACGGCTTGTTTAGTTGGAGATGCTGCGGGTCTTCTCCATCAGCTTTTGGACGAGGGCCTCCATCTGCTGCTGGAAGTTCTCCACCACGGGCTGTACGTTGGCAGCCAGGGGCGTTATGTGCTCCTCGAATTTGGTGGCAGCGGCCCTCAGCTGTTCCTGGATCTGAGTGGCCAGTGGCTCCAGCTGGGTTTTCCTCTCCTGCATGAAGGTCCTGTGGAGTGAAACACAAAGATGAACCATCATGTATGCAAACCAGGCAAGCACATGTTTGACCTGCATTTAGGCTTTATGGAATCACCCAAAATATTTTTTTTATGTGAAGAAAAATTCAAACTAACTTGAGCTTTAACAATAAGAAAATCTGTCCAAACAGTTCAGCTCTGGATATTGTTGAAAATACATACGCTGTCTGAGTGCCGTTCAGATTTTTACTGTGTATTTTCTACCTCTGGCAGAAGTAATATTCATCATACTGTATATGTACCAAAAAAAATCTCAATTACTAGAAGATTGTTTATATTTGATGTATTTCCTTGAGTAAAACTACCTCTGTATGAGTAACAAGATCAAGTGTTCATTCAGAACGGACCCTGTTTGTGTCATATTGACTTTTCTTATCAACATGTATTAATTTGAACTGCTTAATTTTCTATATCATTTACTGTATAATGATCATAATTAAATAATAATAACTTAATGTAACTAACAACTAAAACTTCTGTAATACTGTAGAAATATGATAGAAATAGCACTAATATCTTGTACTTGAGTAAATGTACTCTGCACTGGTATATAACAAAGGATGAGGTCCGGTGTGATAAGCAGCAAGAAGATGTGATCATCCTGAACTCGAGTCACAACATAACGTTGACCTGGTGTGTGAGGGTGGTGGCACCGAGGGGTCGGTGTACTCACTGAGCCTGGTTGGCCACATCCTGGTTGGTGAGGAACGCAGTCACATCCTCGGTCATTTTGTTCTTCAGATTCTCAAAGTACTGAGTGATCTTTTCCAGATCAGCAGCATCTTGTGCAAAGCTTCCTGCGGGTTTCCAAAGACAGAGAAGACGAAGGAGTCAGTAAAGGAGAAAGCTTTATTTAATTATTACATCAAACAGCAGAGTTGCACTTTCAAACAGTTACTGTGTGACGGTCATACCTTGTGCCAGAGCAAGCAGGGCGACAGCTGCAATGAGGGAGAATTTCATGGCTGGTGAGTGGAGGAGACCTGCAGAGACAAACACTGTTCAGTTCTTGTTCTGTGTGCTTGTTCATCTTCCCTTTTATTTCCCCTGGATCTCGTCACAAACATCTTTCACACGGTTTGTTTTTCAGATCTCAGATGACCTCTTCCTCCTCCTCCTGTTGTTCAATCAGATGACTCACTGATAAACGCTTCCAAGAATCCCAGTTGAGTTGATCTTTTTTGTTTGTTGTCACATGGTTGTAAGATAAATATTGCCCCAGCGTAAATGTGCTCCCGTGTGTTTGTCCACATCCCACGCGTTAACTTGTAATCTTTTTCTGGCTTATCACAGACACGCTGCAGTTCAGTGTGAACCTTGAGTTGTTAAAAGAATTTATCACAGATAAAGTCAACAAAAGAAAAAAAAAATCCCCCTCTGGTTTTTTTTATTGCTTTGAGGACTGAGCACCAAAACAAATGTTTAACCTTATATGTGTTTAAAAAAAAAAAAATTAGCATTTTCTTTTATTAATTATTAGATATTTAATGTAGAAGAAGAACAAAGAGTAGAAACTTCTGTTGTGGAGAATAAATTATTTCTTGTGTTGATGTATTTCTCTAATGTGTTAGTCCATATTTAATTAAGGCTTTTTGTACAAAACTGAACATTGTTGTTTTCTTATCTATACTGAATTCCTTGTTGTACGTTTGTCTTCAAATCTGAATGTTTTAAACCCATTTTTATTTTTTCGTCAATCAACAGCAATGCTCTTTGAATTGTATTGAATTTGTTTGTTTAATTTATTTTAATTTAATCATCAACAGACTTTTTATACCACATCCCACCCATTGATTTTGTATTTATTTATTTTTCACAATTAACTTGTGTAAAATGCTTTAAAGCTGATGAACAAATGAGACTGGACAGGATTAAAGGTCATTTGTCACAATAACATGGCTCACATGTAGTCACAACTAGTTTCACATGAATGTTGTTTTAAAAGGTAAATTAGTTGTAAGAGAAGATTTGAAAAGCCAGTACTGCATTACAACAAGAAACATCCACGTAAACTACAGTGTGCTGTTTTTAACAAATGCACAAGACCACAAGAAGTCTGTTCTTTAGTAACACAATGATTCTTCATAGTGATTTTATATCCATGACATTTAAATGACATTTTCAACATTTGTGTGCTGCCTCTTTTAAACCTCCGTGAGACAAAGCTTAAAAAACATTGAATAAAGATCTTTACAAAAAATAATGTGATTTCAACTCTTTTCAATTCACCTTTCCATTAAAACAATTAAAAGTGACAATGATGAACATTTTACTTTCAAATAATCAAATTACGATCCAAGTTTTTGTAAATACCCAAAAGAAGAATTGTGTGTCCCAGTGTCTCGTGTGGATATTTAAATGGATACAAACTCACCTGTAACGCAGGAGAAGTTGGACCGGATGGTGCCGAGCTGTGGGACTCTCTCTCCTCTTATGCTCCAGCTCGGTGATGCAGCAGGGTCGTACTGTGAATGTGATTGGACAGGATAAAGAGCTGAGACGTTATTGGACGTTTGTGACAGTGAGGGAATCACAGCACTGACCCTTGCTGCTCATGATGCCACCTGGGCAAACCGAGCCAAAGTCCAACAGTCCCTCTGCTGACTGTCCTACCTCCGTCATGAGTGTTCATCTTATCACGTTGATTAAATGAAACACTTCATCAGCAGCAGCGTCACTGTTACGACAGTGAGGACAGATTTGTTGGTTACGAGAACAAATTCAATAACAAATAAGAGAACTGACAGAATGTCTTGTGATTTGTTTCTATTGTCTCGTTCTATTGTCTCTTCCTAAGATTGTACTTGGGGATTAAAAACTTCACTTCATAATTTTTAGTGTCTGATGTCACTGCTCTTATAATGTGAAGCATATTGTAACTTTTTGGTAATAAAAGTGCTCTTTGAATAAAGTTTATCATGATTTAATCAACCATTGAAAGGGGGGACGAGTCATGTTTGTGATAATGATCAGGGTCTTTCCACTTTCTTATTTCTACTGTTTTTAAAAAAATCACATTTATTAATTCTGATTGCATAGTTTGAATTAGATTAAAAAAGTAAATGTACACTTCACCGACCAAAATCCAGTTTTAACAGCAGGAAGCAGGAAAAACATTTTTACTTGTGTTATGACTTAGATTTTTATTTTGAAGTGTCATCATGAACTTCTGTCTCAGCCTTGACAAATAAGTGCATGAAGAATAGAGATTAAAAAATACTTCTGTCTTCAGGCCTCTGCCAAGGCCCAACAGTCACATTTAAATCAACTAGATTCACAATTTTATTTGGATCTGCACCAAAATGTAATGGTTTCTCTCCTGACCCATATCACATCCTTCCACCAAGTTTCATAGAAACGGATAAAATACTGTTGAAATGTATTTAAAATGGTCTGAGTGAGTTGTCACTAAGTTGTACTTTGGAGGAAGGGGTCATGAATTACAGTCAACATGTGGATGTAAACCTTCTACCTTTGCTTTACATCCAGCAACGTGTTATTGACTAGTTAATCTTTATAGTCGTCATAAAGCAATTATTTCTCAACCCCAGTCACTCATAAACAAATTCATTCAGGAAAAAAAACTGATTTAGATACAAAAATATGGGGATCCAACGTGAGCTGTTTGATCAAATGTGGATGATTCTCTATTACTCTGGAAGGAAATTGAATGTTTAACAGTCAGATTTAAATTAAAACCAGATGTGAGGATGTTTTTAAACCAGAGAATATTCTCTGTGTCCAGGTCCCGTTCACCACGAGCCTGGACTCACCCGGTGAAAATGAATCCAGTTGTTGATGTCCTTCAAACACATCCTCTAAAGATAAAGAAAAACACACTGTCACATAAAGATGACACAGAACACGACACTGAGGCGTTGAAGTGGGATTAAGAACAAACTGTGTCAAATGAGAAAACTTGAAACTGGATGTGAGTAGTTTCTGATACAACAAATACTGAATGAAAACATGAGAAGAGGTGAAACTAGGCCCCTTTTCAAAGAATTCACACCGAGTAAATAATAGTAAAGGTCATCCACAGTTATTAGTGTTGGTTCAGGCATGCCACAGAATGAAACCTCTTTACCACTTATTTGTTTTACCAAGTGTTAATGAGTAAAAATAAACTTTAAATACACCAGGAAAAGTCTTAAACATCCTCAACTATCTATCTATCTATCTATCTATCTATCTATCTATCTATCTATCTATCTATCTATCTATCTAAAGGGAAACAATCATTATAGTAAAAGTACTTCAAAATTTTATTTAAATATCTCACTTAAGTAAATATAATTTTTTTGGTCATATTTTACAGGATTTCGTTTTGTTAACAATGTCTGTTGTTTACTATACTGATAATTTAACAATAAGAAGAAATGGAATAAAGCGTTTCGGTCAGATGATCCTCTGTGGCAACGTTGTGCGAAACCTCTTGCACATTAAAGTTAAATGAAGCCTGGTTTATTCCTTTAACTTGATTGTGACTACATGACTTTACCCCTGAAAGAAAAACACGGCAGCTCGGGCAAACTGAGTATTGGATTAAAGGAGATTAAATTGCATTAGATTGGTCCAAACGTCATGTGAACATAAAGCAGTGAAGCTGAGGTTAATCACTGATGTCATGAAATGAGAGGGTGTCCTCCAGTGAGCCTCATTATAATCATGATATATGTCTGTTTCTTCCTCTGCTTCTTTCTGTTGTCGCTCACTCCGTAGTAAACAACATCAACGGGCCTCATCTTTGTCCGCTCTGAGATTTTCAGTCTCACACTTTGCTGTAATATCTTTTGAAATGTGTTTTTTAGTGGAACCAGATGTACAATGTCTGAATCTTTATTATATTGCAGATTCAGCTTTAAAAATCAGAGAGAAAAAAAAAACTACATTCAATCAAAAGCTCCCGAGTTCCTGCTCTGAACTTCTCTGGCTTCCTCCCAGGCCACAGCGACGATGAAAAATTACACAAGGCCCAAAAAGTCGTAAAAAAAACCTCCTAGGAACCGTGAGAGGAGGTCCCATTTCCTCCTTCAACTATTTGTTTTGTACGAGGTTGGTGGTCCCACTGACTCACAGTTAAACCCTTTAACTACTAACTAACTACAAACTCAGTTTCTGTCTGAGTGTGTTGAAGAATAACCCGAGTTTCTCACCCTCTCTTGACTAAAGTGAGTTATTGTGTCTGCAGGTTTTAATCACATGCTTCAGGCTGCAGAGCTGGAGCCTGAGCCCTGACTGGAGTTGTTCTCTGTTGGAGCCACAGGAGAGAACAGAACAGGCTCAGATTTCTTGGCTTGATATTTCTCTGACTTTCCACTGGTGCCTTCACGCTCTGTGGAAAATGCAGGAAATAAGACAACAACATGCATGTAACTTGCTGAACTTCATATCCCAGTTTGATAACGAATTTGCAGAAATGTGGCGTTTACGTGTCTATCTATAGATTGCACTGGTATGTTATAATTACAGCATGTTTTCCATTTTGTTTATTATACTGTTGATTTTAATTCAAAATAAAGCTCAGCAGAACTGACATGCCTGTTTGTTATCGACTCAAACAACAATGAGAAGAAGACGTGTTTTTTTTATTGAAATCAATACACAAACAAACATCTAGAGCCACTTTGCATTTGAATGTCGATCACTTCAGGCAATGATTCAGCACATATGGCCTATTTGTGGCCCGGATAAAATGGATGTTGGCTTAATGTGACCCGGTAAAACAATTGTGGCCCTTTGTTGTCAAACATTCAGTTCTCTAGGCAAGGTGTCATCTGGATATGGCACCTCTGGTTGACATGAGGTATCTATTTGCTTCATTGTGGCCCAGACCAGCAAACAGGAGTGAACCACCATCATTTCATGGTGAGTATGTGGGCACAATTGAATTAGTTGGAAATCTGAGCGAGGAAACAGAATCAGCTTTATTTGCATTGTGTGTACACATACTAGGAATTTGACTCCAGTGTTATTTGCTCTACACTAACAGGAAAAACAGACTCCAAAATAAACATAACAACTGTACAAATAGAGTGACGCTGTACAAGGCAGTGGTGCAACAGGACACAAACATTTAATCACTATGCAGATATGATGGAACTGTGACCAGAGGACAGTGCAAAGATGCTGGAAGAAATGTATGGTTCACTCATATACATGAAGTGAATAACACAACCGTAGTGCATTTGTGTACAAATAAATGACATTAAGTGAAGTTTGTTTCAAACATAAATAACAGACTGAAAGCAAATATTACTGTGACCAACATTGTCCTGAACTGTAATAACCAAACATAGGGTCAAACTTATGATAACTACACACACACACACACACACACACACACACACACACACACACACACACACACACACACACACACACCTTTGTGACTAGAACATGTGGAGGTTCTGGTGTGTAGCTGTTTTCAGTGAGTGTGGGGAATCCCCGGGGTCAGTGAACGCCTCCTGTGTCTGGGGCAGCCTGGCAGTGAGGATGAGGAGCTGCGGTGAAATGTGTCGAAGACTCGGCTCGATCTGCTCCATGAGGCGGTGACTGACTCCAGCCCGATCACACGCTGTCCCCCCGGCTCTCACACTCCGCGTCCGAACCCGAACCCGTCCCGCAGATCGCCGCACACCCCCCCCGCAGCCCGGACTCCGCAGACGTTACGTGTGGACAATGGAATCTAACCTTCTCCCGGACAGTATCCGCCCTCAGCGGCTGCAGCCGGGTATCGGGTTCGGTTCGGGACCCACCGGAACCCTCCGCTCCTCGTCGCTCCGGCCCGGGGTCACGGTCCCCATCGCGCCGCTGCTGCCCTCCCCGGCCTCCCTGGCCGCGTCCTGCGGGCCTCCCCCGCCTCCGCCTCCCCTGCAGCTCCACAGCCTGTACGGAGGCATCGGGGCCGGGCTGGGGCCGGGGGCTGCCGGCCACTGTAACCCGGGGAACCCGGCGGTGCTGAAGGAGGCGGTGGAGGCTGTGGTCCGCAGCTTCGCCAAACACACACAGGGCTACGGCAGAGGTAACGTCCCGCGGTGCTAACACCCCGTTAACCCGGCTAACCAGCATGTTTTATCGGATGTTTCAGGTCGGTGCTGGGGAGGGGAGCTGGAGCAGAAAACCACTTTTAGCTGCGCCATTTGTTTGGGAATAGATCAGCAACGTAAAAAAAGCACACACTACATTCCTGTGTTTAGTTCCACAGCTTCAGATATCACATGTGTCTAGTTTCACCTTGTAGATAAAACATTTCCACTTAATGAAACATCTCCATCAGGTCTTTCTTCTCATATTTACACAACCTTTGCTTCATTCACCTCATTACAGGATTAACTACCACGGCTCCGGTTTACATCTGCGAACAATAAACTATTATACACATACATGAACCACTTCACATTGATCTCACTTTACACTGGACACAATACAAAAGTGATCCTGCACCGTTCCATGTGATACATATTATTCTAGTGACGTTAATTAACCAAAGGAAGTTGTTATCAGTTTGTAAAATCAGGTTTTAAGTTATTTTAATTGAGAAGAATTGAATTTATTCATCTCTCAAAATGCAACCAGAAACCATCCATCACAGTATAAGTAAAACCAGATGGATGTCGTTCTTCTCCTCTTACTCAGAATAGCTTGAATTTTTGAAAACGTAAACATTTGTTTAGGAACAAACAGGGCAGGGAATCACAGGGTAAGTCATGATACATGATACTGGGCCCACGATAATATCACGATACAGCGTTCTGCAATAACTGATGTATTGCAAGACAATCATTTAACTATATGATATCTGTTAACTGAAGAAGAATTCAAAATTGTATGACTTATGTAGTTATTCTTTGCAGTTTAGTGTCAGTTTCACAGAGTTTGACTCAAAATGAGATGAAACAATGTGCAAAAAAGTGCATAAAGTCTTATGTTAGTTCTTCTTTAGTCTTTAAAAAACAAAATGTTACTGATTCCTTACTCCAGGTAAAATAACCTGAAACTTGCAAAAGTTCAAACTATATATAACTAAATAACTAAATATTGATTTTTGCTGTCAGCATATTGATAATTGTGTCTCATGGGTAGTCTTCATGTCATGAGAATAATCACAACAAAAAAACTGAAATTGAAACAAAACCATAAAAAAGAAATCTTTCATTGCATCATATATCAATATTATATGGGAAAATGGGCCCCACTAGATAATAATACTGTATAATGATAAGGGTAAATATAAATAAAATACTAATGATACTAGATTAAATTTCCTTTTAGTTAAATTTACAACAGAATTAATATTTAGCTGAACTCTGTGTTTCTTGTCTGATGATCACCTAATGATCTTTGTTCACTCATCTGTATTTAGCTTGTTGTTTATCACTGTAACACACTGTAGGAGGCTTAAAACCAACTATTAGACCAAATGCTGCAATAATGTTGGGAGTCACAGCTACTACAAGTGTAGTGTGCTAATAGGATTTATTTCCAAAAGATTGTCCCTCCCGTCTTTCCCTCCTCGATCCCATTTAGGCTACTTAACACCGTCAACATTGGCAGCGCCATAAAGACAGCACACTGGCTTTATTTGTGTCCTAATTTCTCTTGTTGCTCTCTGGGGGAAGATGAGGATGTTTGGTAAATTGTTGCAAACATTACAAAATGCTCGGCTCCATTCAGTGCATTAACTTTCAAAAGTACAACTGACGGCTTTGACATCATTAAGTAACCTGTGATGAAGTGTCTGATACAAACATGTATGGAGTGGTTAGTAAACTGCAGGAGTTTACCACTTCCATCTGTCTGCAGACGGCCTGAAGTCACAGATCTCTTCTTTTCCTGTTTCTAGTTTTTTAGTTTGAAAAACCAAATTAGCTTTATGGCATAATGCCATGAGTGTTTATAATTAGTTGCAGTCAGTTTCACAGTGCTTGTTTTCAACTGTGGAAGGAGGGTCTTCCGACTTTATCCGGTGGTCAAAGTCATGTGTCGTGTAACTGCTGCTCCGTGGGTCTGAGCCTTGAGCAGTACCATTGTCACTTTATAATATATCATCCTCCACTATCTCCCAGTGTTTCCTGACTCTTTGTCCTTTAGATTAAAGGAAATGCTCAAAACATGATACAAAAACCAGACTGAAACTGACGATCTTATCACAGCCTCTGTTTTGAGGAAACTAATGTGCATGTACAACATATGCAATAGCTCGCTACACATCTAGTCCCAACTTGAGATAAACATTGAATTTTTTATTTTAAGTAGAGCACATTAAAGATTCATGTCATGTGTTGTGAAGCGTCTTACTTCATATTCAGCTGAAAACAAGAGAAACAGTTTATAGTGAGCATTTCACTGTCACACAGTAAAAGCAATAACATCTTGGATTGCACATAAGTGATTTGCTGTGTGACGTCGGGATATGTTTTCTATTTCTATGTTCGTCAAGGCTGCAGCTTTGAAAACAACTGATACAGATCAGGCTCCAGACTCTGTGTGTGTGTCTAAGGGAGACTTAGTTTGTCTGTGTCCATATCAAACAGCGAGAGCTCAGCGGGAAAGAGCCGAGAGGTGACAGAAGTGAAAGAGACCTGGATAATGATGGCTGCGCTCACAACTCCCCGCAGACCCAGACCCAAATCGTTATTTATGGCTCAGTTTCTTTGTTGCAGTTTCCTCTTGGAGGAACACATGAATGCAACTTTTGCTTATGAAAGTTCGGGGCTGAGGGTGTGTTTCTTTAAGTGAGCAGCTCCACTGAGGTGATGCAGTATTTCCTTTAGGCAGCCACATAAATATTTTCAGGAAAATCCCCTGGCATCCTTGAAATGACCTTCCCCCCAGCCCATCCATCTTAGAGAGGATGTTACAGAGCACGGCCAGAGACAGACGGCACTTAAGCTGAGCACAAAAAGCATTCCGATTTCCAGCCACTAAAATATTTTACTGCTAAATAGGGTTAATAATAAAAGTCTGATTTGATGTATCTCAGTGTGACAGTTTATTTATATCTGTTCCCTGCAGTAAACGTGGTGGAGGCTTTACAGGAGTTTTGGCAGATGAAGCTGACCAGAGGGGCTGATCTGCGCAACGGAGCTTTAGTTGTTTATGAAATGGTCCCGTCCAACAGCCCGCCATATGTCTGCTATGTTAGTCTTCCAGGAGGCAGCTGCTTCGGAAGTTTCCAGGTACAGTAACTGCACTGTTTCTATGTGATGGAGAAATCCTTCATGCTGTGTGAAAAATGGTCATTCCATGTTACAAAGTTACAGAATCCAAACATGCCTGCAACCATCACATCCTAAAGATGGATCCAAAATCAAGACTAGAAAACAGTAAATTAGGATCTGTGCACATTGTAGCTAACATGACATATTCTGTATGTTAAGATGGACAACACGTCTCCGCCTCCTCCCACTATTCAGAAATGAAGCCAAATTCTCCAAGATGCAAACGCTGCCATCTTGCACCAATGATGTCATTTGGAGACATGAATAAACATCTTTGTGATAAGAACTACGTAGAATGAAAAAAAACATCTTTGTTTCATCCATATCCCATCCTCTAACATGGAGGAGATTTGGTTTATACTATGTCTTTTTATGCAGCCAGCCAACAGACAGCAACCAATATGCTTTAGCTTCCTTTTTGGGGAACCGTCATGTCGTCCATCTTTATAGACAGTCAAAGTTGGATATAAACACTGTTGTTCTCCAGCCTTCTTCACAGTACATCTGTATTTCTGCTTGTATCTGACCGCTGATGCATGTTTTGTTCACTGTTTGACAGTTCTGTCCCACCAAAGCAGAGGCAAGACGCAGCGCTGCCAAGATCGCCCTCATGAACTCTGTTTTCAATGAACATCCCTCCCGTCGCATCACAGACGACTTCATTGAGAAGAGCGTGAGCGAGGCTCTCGCCTCTTTCAATGTAAGTTACGGTAACTCGCTTCAAATTGTTGTTAGTTGTAGTATCAAGCTGTTGGTCAGTGGGAAGCAAAGTCACATACAGATTTCTGGACCTCCATACTGGTACTATAGAGCAGCTCTATGTGAGAATACAAATGTCCGAGTCAGTTGCTTTAAACGTGTCTGACCTCGGACAATCTCCCTCTGCCTTCCTCATATGTGAAGTTCATGTGTGACTTGGACGAGCTCCCCGAAAGACTCGCTTGAGTCAAGATGGCTCCAATTTAGTTCTATCAAAAACAGATGCAATAAATCTCTTGAGGAAGAAAACTGATTTACGGAAAATACAATTCTGAAAGCAAAATATTGAGGATGTCACAGAGACATTAACAAGATACTCTGTGTTGTAAACAAAGTTGCTCAATGCAAACGCGGAGCGTATCTTTAAGTCTTTGGCAACGTGTGGATTAGATTTTCTTGCTCATAAAACATTGCTAAGCTGATGTTTATTAAATATTGAAAAAAAATCTGCATTTTTTTACCAAACATCAATAGATCAGAAGAAGAGCGTGAAACCACTGGGAGGACTACAGGGTACATTAACAATATCATTGTGCAAAAAACAGTACATGCATCAGAAATTGTAGTTATCCTCCTCACTGTCTGAAACTGACGTCAAAGTCCAAGTATATACGTGAGCCATGAAATACTATATGAGTCAAGCAACACACCATATGCTCATTAACCGCTTGTTGTGCTTCACAGGGAAACAGAGAGGAGGCCGACAATCCCAACACAGGAATTGGAGCGTTTCGCTTCATGCTTGAGTCCAACAAAGGAAAATCCATGCTGGAGTTTCAGGTGCATATAAATCAGGAATGTCTGTGTCGTGTTAAGTCAAATTTGATGCTCCTTAGACACAGCAACGCAGCTCGTGGGCGTCTAGTGTGCACATACATGTAGTTACAGCCCACATGTGACCTTAACATCTTGACCTCATTTCTAACTGGAATGTAGAAGGCATGGTTTGAATAACTGAATTACTAAATGTTGTGTGCTGTGAAGAGAGTTTGGTCTCACGCTGGCTCTGCTGTGTTTGTGCCTCCAGGAGCTGATGACTGTGTTTCAGCTACTGCACTGGAATGGAAGCCTCAAAGCAATGAGAGAGCGACAGTGTTCCCGACAGGTACTGAATGTGATCCTCGCCCACTTCCCAGACGGGTTCAATTATCCAAGTACAGTGGTGGTTTTCAGTGAAGTAATTACATGACAGGTCTGTACTGTTCCACATAGATCACCCATTTCTCCCTCTCAGCATGAGAGCAGCGGCTGGCTGGAAAATAATAAGGACACCAAAGAGGAAGTTCTTTGTTAATTCTAACGTTCCTGAACTAGAATTAAACCCACTAGAGCCCATACTGCCGCCAAGGTCCAACCTCCCATTAAATTCAACCAAAGTGCACCAAATTACACACACTCATAGATATCAGTCCTCTAAATATGCCTTGTTTTTTACTGTACTGTTCTTTACCCTAGAATGGGGCCTTTATATTTAAATACTTCATATTTACATCAACGGGGTCCTCTCTATGGAGGCTGCCATGTTTTTTTTACAGTAGTTTAAACTCTACAAACTGAACACCTTTTGAGTTTTTATGAAAACTGAAGGCCTCCACAGGTTCTCTCATGTTTTGAAGGGGAGGGTGAGGTGAGGGGCATTCAGCTGCAACATGCAATTTCATTACTAGATGTCACTCAATTCTACACACTGTCCCTTCCAATATTTGCATGCGCACAATATAAATAATTTAAAACGTGTGCAAGTTAATCATAACAATGCCTGTAAAATTGATAGTAACAGTAACCTGTAACCTTCAAAGTTTAGAAAATATAACTTTAGTTTAACTTCTGAGAGTTTAACTTCTAGGTTGGTTACCTGACATGTGACGCACCAAAGACATTATTCTTCACCTGAAAAGTAAATAATATAAATAACACTGCTTATTTACACTGCAGAAGATGTAAATGACTCTCTCATCTATATGACTGAACTTTGCAGGAGGTGCTGGCTCACTATTCCCACCGGGCTCTGGACGACGACATGCGCACTCAGATGGCGGCCGACTGGGTGAACCGCGAGCAGAGCGTGGCGAGCACCATTGCGCAGGAGCTGGCCTCCACAGAGCGGGAACTGGAGGATGCCAGACTGGCGGGCAGAGAACTGCGTTTTTACAAAGAGAAGAAAGACATCCTGATGTTAGCCGTGGGTCAGCTCAATGCGGCCAACACCGCCACCCTGCCATCACGCTAAACCTGGCACATGGAATCATGCTTTCACACTCCACAGGATTCCTGGTAACAGTATTGAACATTTCGTCTGATTTAAAAAAAAAATCCTTTGTATCATATGTTTCGTCACGAGGACCAGGTAATCAGCCCTTGATTCTACAGTATGCACATCCCACCACAAAACAAACACCCGCCACTATAGCTGTTACCTCTTTGTGCCTAGTGATTACAGGAAAACTACTTTTTTATAAACTACTTGTAAACTTGGCGAACCAGCTTACGGGGTAATACATGTTTTTGTTCTTTATTTCAGACTGTAAGAAATATAACCTGCCTTTCATGTGTGAATGTACAGGTCATGAGGTAAAATGACCAACAAAACCAAACACGTATGAGGTAAAGATCATTTGTAAATCAGATCAATGTGTTTGTTAAGTGTTTTGGGAGCGTTCACTTACACTACATGCAGTCAAAGTGGTGAAAAAGTAGCAAAAGAGAATACAAACAAGAATCTCAAAAGCCTGACAGCAAGTAACTTGTGACCACTAATAAACAGATCATTTTAAAACAGCAATTAAAGGGATAAAAAAATCCCTTATAATGTAAGCACAGCACAAAGTTTAAGTTGGCGACACTATTGAAATAATTCTTCAACAGGAGACTGATCCGACAGCAGCTCAGGTTTTAAAAAAATCCAATGGGGGACCATCGCTTTGTTTTATCTATCTTTGTTTGTGAACTATTCTAGCGTTCATTATATACTCGGTGACCATGACACTAGCTGAATGTTTATTCTCAGTGCGCTCTCAACCACACGAGCTGTTCAGGTGATAGGATTTCGCCGTGATACAGTTTGTGTTTGTCATGTGGAGGAGATCAGAAGAGCTGGCAAGAGTCTCATCGACGACAACAAACAGCCACACAAGGATCGAAGTCGTGGCTTTTTAACAAGATGATTTACCATGTGTGAGTCACGTGTGAGTCATTGTCGTCAATGCTAAATAGCACCAGTGCTTGTGGTTTATGGTTTTCATGATATTGGAAGCAGAGTTCGGTTCTTAGCTGTGCTGGTGAACGTCCACAAGCTAAAATGTAACTCGCACTTAATCACCTTTTGAATATTTTACATAGAAGGACCTGATCTGTTTTATACTGTAAATGTGATATCCTTTTATTTCCCTGTATAACATATCTAAAAATGTATTTTTTATTACATTATAAGAATGAAGGCATTTTAAAGAGTCACCTTTTAAAGACCCCATGAAAGGGGAGTGAGAGTTAAATTGATAAGGTTCAGCTCTGGTTTGAAAGAAAAATGTGGGCAGTGAGTTATGCGAGTTAAACAGCGGGAGGGCTCGTGCTTCTGCTCATTGTTAGATTGTCAACAGCAGAAACTGATTACATGAAATGTTGGCCGCCTGCAAATAAAAAACAAAGGGGGCAGGAAGGTTTGTAGGTTTAAAGCCAGATCTGTTTTAATATTCTATTGCCGTATTTCTCTCTGGGATCATTGTGCCTTCAAGTAAATTGGTAGCCTGTTGTGGTTAGACTCATTAAACTCCATTTAATTGGGTCTTTAAAAGTTAGAGCTACTCTGCTTTACGTCTTTTGTCTTACATGTAAAGGTGATGTTACATTACATGTTGTAGCGTGCAGATTACTCGCTATATTACTGTTACAATACCTTAATATGTTCTTATGAAGGATTTATTAAATCTCACTACGTTTGTTATACATTTATAACCATTATATATTGTTGATTTGGTACTTGGCTCACAAAATATGGATGCAGCAAGAATTAAGCAAAGATTGATTTTCAGTGATTGTATCGTCCCGTGAAGCGATTTTAAGTCCGACTTCATGCTCTAGTGCTGGTGCACTCGTATCTAGTTTTTAAATGAGCTGGTTACAGGAATGAGGCTGGAGATCTTGAATTATGTGTTTTTGCATTTTTCCTCTAATTAAGATGCTTATTATTATTGTGTGTTTGATTTCTGACAACAAGCCATTAATATCAGAGCTCCATTCTTACAAATGCCTTTGACCTTTCTTTGTGATCATTATCAATGAAGACTTTTTAAAAACAGTATATTTTTTGCTATCCATTTTTATAAAAAGCAAACAAACTTGGGCTTTTCATCTTTTGGCTTTAATGCATGATGTTGTTGATTAATTTCTGTTTTTCTATGTTTCATATTCGATACAGTATTGTTTTTGAAGTGTTCCTGAAGACACTTATTGTATGTATTTTCTATGAACATTTTGTATTTCATGTTTATAATTTTAGTAGATTTATACGATGTAATAAATTGGCTGATACAAAACTTTACTGGTTTGTCATGTCACTTTTTATGCTGTTTAGTACAAAGATTATTATTGTCATTTATAACAAGGAATAAGTAATGAGATTGCAAATGATTTAATTGCTTTTCCAGACATTTTCGAAAAAGGTTCTGGGAATTACATATTATCGTTATGACCACACATCAATTCAAAATTAGAATATAATTTTCTAAAGACTGCAATACAATAAACTGCCCTTTTCATATAAGTACTGATGGGCAGATAAGGCAAAGTCCAAATAACAAAAAGATTATGTCTCCAATTAATCTGTATTTAATCTCTTCTCTTCTCTTCAGTGTTACCAAAACTTAATTACAGCAAGCTTAATGGACCCTAGCCTAATAATTATATCTCAATCAATCCCTTGCAGTACAGTGTATTGTTGCTTTACTTACCTTACACCACTGTACAAACATTCAAAGCTCTCTAAATTTAAATTCTTAACCATGACTACGACCACAAGCAGCCTGAGTCACGTAAAAGAACCATCATCAGCCACATAGAGAACAAAACGTCCTGCAGCAGATGGTGGAGCCCCCACAGTCTGATCTCAACTTCATGGAATCAGTGTGGGATTACATGAGACTTCCTACATCACACAAGAACTTTGGCAAGACGCTTAAAACCACACACTGTATCTAACCACAGAAACAATGTGGTGATTAAGTGATGAACCGTTCATGTCATGACTTTTTTCACTTGACTTACGCCGGCAAACTCATTCTCTTACACACATTTTTATGAGTGACTTTTCTCTATTCTTGAGGTCTTCCCTTTTTTAAAAATGTATAATTTAAATCATATTTTACCAACTATTTTTTAATGATTTCATACTTATTTTTGTATCTTTCTCATCTGTATATTTGAGCTCCAATGTTGTCTATTACTGTGTTATCTTCAAATTGCTTTTAATAGTTTTATTGTTTTCCTTCTTTTATTCATTTTTAATTCGTAAAACACCTTGGTTGTGTTTTGAAAGGTGCTATGTGACTTCTTTATTATTATTATTATTATTATTATTATTAGTAGTAGTAGTATTACAATTATTATGACTATTGCTGGTAGTATCTTCCTGTTTATGCTCAAATGTGTTTCCTGCACCAAAATATGAACATTTTATTATTTATCATATTATTTGTGTTTACTTCCGTTTCCGGTAGACAGCGCAGGAAGAGGCGGGCCCTCAGTTTAACACGCTCGCCCTCCGTTGTTCATTCAACATGGCAGCGGGACCAATCTCAGAAAGAAACCAAGGTAACTTCTCCATTTTAATCCACGTTTCGTTCCGTCGTGTGGCTCGTGTATGAACCTGTTTGTGCGCCACACTTTAAAATCCTCACCCGGGTGGGCTTAGCCTCGTTGGCCGCCGCGTTAGCGATCGTTCAACAACGACTCGATCACATGGAAGTGCTCAGTCGTCGTTAGCTTTGTTTGCCGCTAATTTAACCTCCTTAGTCGAATTGTTTTATTTTATCTCCTCTCTTCTACTTGCTGCTGAAGAAGTCAGACGTGCCCCTGATTTTATTCATTGATTTGTTAACTGTGGCGGTTCTTGTTGTTAGCATATCAGAAGAAGGGCTACGTTGTAAGTGGCTAGCAGCTAGCCCATCAAGCTAACTAGTTAGAGCTAACAGCTTCTTCTGTTTGACTGACTAAAAAAATGATCAAACTTGTGTGTATCATTGTACTTTGGTGTCGTTTTGTCCAGTGTGCTTTTACATAGTATGTTTTGAAGCTAAGGCTGGAGATATGGAGTCTTCAGTGTTATTATCATGGATGTTAGGCCAGACTGTTTCCATTGACAATTCCAGTAGCTAGTGTCATTGTTGCTTATATCATCCTTTATAAACAAAATAGATACTTAGCATTATATTAAAATGTGACATGTTTATGTTATGCAAAAGTCCAATTGTGTAGTTAATAACTTTACTAAAATGTAATTGTTTACTCTGTTAAATGCCAAAATTAAGTACAAAGCTATGTCATGGTTAACCAGAGTTCAAATTAATGCTCTGCACAGTATTCATTTTGCAGTGATTCTAAACAATGAATAGCTAACATCATCTTTTAAATTGAACCTGTGACAAGCAGGTATTTGATATCTTTACATGATAAGTATGTAAACCACCACCAACCAGGCGGTATGCATCTCAACTGATTTGTATTCGGACTTTAAAATTTGTTAATTTTTTTTCAGACGCCACTGTTTATGTTGGCGGCTTGGATGAGAAAGTATCCGAGCCGTTACTATGGGAGCTTTTCCTGCAGGCTGGTCCTGTGGTCAACACACACATGCCCAAAGACAGAGTCACAGGCCAACATCAGGGTGAGTATCAAACAACATGAACTAAACCTTTGGTTGGTAAGATAGCAACATGTCTGATGTGGATGGAAAAACACTCATTAAGCCTACATGTATCACAATTATGGAGCTGAAAGTTTTATCTTTCTCCTCAGGTTATGGCTTTGTGGAGTTCCTCAGTGAAGAGGATGCTGACTATGCCATCAAGATCATGAATATGATAAAGCTCTATGGCAAACCAATTCGAGTTAATAAGGCCTCGGCGCACAACAAAAACTTGGATGTGGGAGCAAACATCTTCATTGGTAACCTGGACCCGGAAATCGACGAGAAACTGCTCTACGATACATTCAGTGCCTTTGGCGTAATCCTGCAGACGCCAAAGATCATGCGAGATCCGGACACTGGCAACTCCAAAGGTTATGCTTTCATCAATTTCGCCAGCTTTGACGCATCAGATGCTGCTATTGAGGCAATGAACGGCCAGTACCTCTGCAACAGGCCCATCACAGTGTCCTACGCCTTCAAAAAGGATTCGAAGGGAGAGCGACACGGCTCAGCTGCAGAGCGACTCCTGGCTGCACAGAACCCTCTCTCCCAGGCAGACAGGCCTCACCAGCTGTTTGCAGACGCTCCCCCGCCACTGAGCGCTCCGACACCGGTCCTGACCTCAATGGGAGCTGGGATGCCCATGCCAGGTATGAATGAATGAGAGTTGTTATGCAAGGTAGATGTTAAACAGTGTAAGATGTCCTTCGTTTCCATCCACCTCAGTAGGACTTTTTTTACCTGCACTATTCATGTCGTGGAACATTTTAAGTTATCATCTAAGAATGAGAAAGCAACTACTACCTGATAATATCAGGGCACAGCCTGTAGAAAATATTATATGGTGAAACAAAGAGGTGTGTAGTAGTAGTCGTATCTGTATATCTTTGTTCGCTTTGTGTTTTTTGTAAGTTACGTTTCCTCCTGTTGTCCAGTGCTAATTTCCTCTTGGATATACAAGACTGTTGCTGGACTCTCAACCAGTCTAATCCAAAAATCTTTTTTTTTTAACAAAGTATAAAATGTCTGGTAGGTAAGTGTTCCTACCTTGGTACAAAAACACAATATTGTGGCAAAGTCTTACATCTAAATCTTTAGCGTGCCTTTATTTCCTTTGGTTACGTTTCATTGGGCTGTAATCAGCAACATTTGTATGTTTTATTTGTTAATCAGTCAAACGGCTTAACTGTTGTAATTTGAAATTATAATTTATATTGTACATACAACTTGTTTCTGTTCAGGCATGCCACCCCCTGGTGCTTTCCCTCCTGTTCCACCTCCTGGATCGATGCCTCCATCAATGCCCCCCTCTATGGCCATGCCTCCAAACGCAGGGGCACCAGGCTCACAGGGTGGTGGCGGTGGACCCCCACCCGGCCCACCACCCTTCCCTCCTGGCAGCATGCATCCAGGTAATGACTTGTTAAAAGTTACATAATGAATGAAGTAAGTGAGTAAATCTGACGGACATTTAATATCAGAAATCAATTGTTTGTTTAAAAAGCTTTTTGCCCATAAATTGCGGTTGTGATTCTCTGTATTATTTTGGTTTGACTGGACTTATATTTTCAAGTCATAGCAGTTTATTCCAGCATATGATGTAAACACAGCAAACTTCATTGCTTCTGTCACACAGGTATGCCACAGATGCCCATGCCTCCTCCCGCTCCTCCTGGCATGGTGCCTCCTCCTGCTCCTCCAGGATCAAATCAGCAACGTGCACCGCTGCCTCCTGGCATGCCCCCTCCCCCTCCTATGGGCATGCCACCCAGAGCACCATATGGACCTCCCATGGGTGAGCGCTGTGTTTCTTTGTTTTTAAATAAAAGCCTCTTAAACCTCACTAACAGTCTGCTATTAAAAAGAAAAATACTTTTGATTTAAAAAAAAAAAAATTCTGTAAAAGAACTAACGGTCAATAATCTTTCCTCCTTGTATCTGTATTATGCAAAATAGCGTTAATGATTTTTAGTATTGACACATACCCACGTTACCATGACGACTGTAACCAAATTTGTTGTCCAACCATTGAACAGCAGTAAAGACTGATGAATGGAGTGAGGGGTGGTCTTTTGTCCTCTATAGGTCGAACAAGATAAGATGAGACACAGTTGAGTTAATTATGGCTGATGTGGAACTTTTAAATGTTAAATGATCCCAATTCAATGCTGAAGCTAAACATATTCACCACAACTCGCTTTGTAAAATCAATATTCCACGTTCTCTCGTTCCTGGCGGCTCCTCGTCTCACCATCTCCCCCTGAGGTTTTACAGCGCTTTTAAATGTCAAGAGTATCGACAAAGCTTGTTTAGGATTTACAATCTTTAAAACGATTAAGTAGCACAGATGAAAGCTTCAGTGCTTTCGTCTCATCTTTTAATTTACATTTTAATATTATGATTCAGTCTGCCTTCGTTGCATCATCCAACACGACTCACAGGTGATATCATTCAGCCCGACACAGACAACATAGACATTCAACATAGGGAGGTATTCTCTTGTTCTGGCCACTTGTTGTCTTATGCAAGGTCCACCTGTGCTTCCAGGTATGAGAGGTCCTCCACCCATGCCTCCACCCGGCTACGGAGCCGGTCCTCCACGTCCACCTCCGTTTGGCTTCCAGAGAGGACCTCCGATGCCACCAAGACCCCCTGGTGTCCCACCACGCATTCCCATGAGAGCACCCATGCCCCCCTAGTCCTCCGCAGACGGCAGAAAAAGGAGTCTCTTTTTGCTTTTTTATTTTTAACATCTTCAGATCTACTTAAATTTGTTATCGCCAGAATAATTTAACCACCTCTTTGTATTTCTTTGGTCATTGTACAGATGAAAGACCTTTTGGTGAATAAAGTTTTTAGTACAAGTTTTGGATCATTGGACATTTTTTTATTTCTGTAAAACAGAAGAGCTAAAATTTTTAACTTTTAAATAAATGTAAAAAAAAATCTTTATATCACAAGATGCAGCAGAAATTAAGTAGAATAGTTCCATCCCATCAACTGTATATAGGTCTATCCTAACCATTAGTATTATCTTTGAGCTAATTTTCTTCTGCATGTGTTACTTTGTCAACAGGATTACACAAAATTTTGTGTAGGGATGGGGCATGACCTAAGGTTTATTTTTCTTTAACATAGCAAGATGGGTTACTTTTCAACATTTTTGTTGATTTCTCAGAATAATTCATCGATCGTGATGAAAAAAATCAGACATATTTAGAGGACTTATGTTTGGCGCAAATCCAAACTGCTCTTAAAAAGTGCTCTCCAGATGGTGGTCAAAGTAATTTTTGGGTCGGTTAGCAATTCTCTAAAACATCATGCTACTTAATCGTGTTGATAAACTAAGTAGCATGAGGTTTTGTACTCAAACACAACAATTAGATATAATAGATGATCTCAACATGTGAAGTTTACATCTCACCTGCTTAAGCAACAATACTAATGGGTTTGTTCACTGTGCACTTTACTCTTACTTTTAAATTAACCACTGGCTCAAGGAGCAGAAGCCAGAGCAGTTTGTTTTGCTCCATTCTTTCTGACGACATGGACACATGGTAAAAGAGTTTCTTTCCCCCCCCCTCTCACACCATCCAATAAAACCTGCAGATTATTAACAACCACAGGAATTAGTTTCAGGCTTTTTCTTGTCATAAGCATCTTCACAGTTTCCATCATTTTCCTCCCAGCTGGAGCCGTACAGACAAAGGTCCTGCTACACATTATATATAAACGGTTTATAAGAGGTGCATTACTCTGTCAGGGAAACCTCGCGTGTGTTGGTGGCAAAGACTTGATGCAGTGAAAGGGGATCAAGAATATGGCAAGTGGTTGGCATGACAACCGGAGTCAGGTGTGCTCGCACGTGTGTGTGTGTGTGTGTGTGTGCTGCCTGTGCGCACGATTTTAATTCCAACGTGCGTTAAATCGTGAATTGGTAAAAATCAGAGGAGGGGACATCGAGGTGTTTGGGTGCGCATGTGTGAGAGGATGCATGGAACATACACAGTTATAAATGTAATTGATGAGAAATGCGTTTGTAATCATTTGATGCGCAAACCTCACATGAGCCTCTGGATGCGGACAAAGCGCCAGATGAGTTTAAAAAGGGGGTTTGGCGCAGATGTGCACACAATCTGCGACAAACCCTCCAGATATGAAGGCGTTAATGTGCTCGTGAGGTTTTTCCTTTTTGCATGGGGGGAGGGGACCCCTGCGCATCACAGTGTGTGTGGATGGATGGATGGCGTGGGCTTCTCTCTCTCTCCCTCTCTCTCTCTCCTTCCTCCAGCCTGCCCAGCATCATCACTCGCTTCGCAGCAACAGCCTCGTACGGCTTCATCCTCCTCCTCATCCTCATCCTTCATCACCACCATCTCCGCGCTGAGGAGGCACCGAGCGTCGCAGGAACTGAAGGTGAGATTTAAAAAAAAAAAAAACCCAAATGTGGAGACAGTGTCTTCAGCAGCCGATGGCGTCTGGGATTTTGTTTTTTTTATCTTTTGATTTTCTTCTCCGGTGTTGAGACATCATCACGAGGAAGAGGTGATGGGCGTGTTCTCCTGTCGTTGGGCTTCACACAGCGATCGGGATCGATTTTGTGAATCAAGACTATATATGATTTAATCCGAGTCGTGACCAGATGCTGGTGTTGGCTGAGATTTCTAAGAATGAGGGACAGATGCGAGGGAGCGAGAACACAAACTGGCTATTTATCATCAGGTTTGCAATGCTGTCGTATATTTGTGCTGCTGTGTAATCGACGAGGCCTTTTTTTCACTGAGGACAATTGAGAGCTGACTGGATCGTTCAGTTTATGCATGTTTAATCAGACATTTTCATTTGATTCCCACATAATTACCATTTATGAGAAACAATCCTCGCAAGAAGCTCAGATATTGGAACAGGCCAGAATTAAAGCCCATAATAAGATTTTTTAAATCTGGGTTGGGGGTTGTTTGCTCCTCTTGATGCGATGATATCTTCAGGTGTCCCTGTTAATCATCACGACATTTGACTGATAGAAACCTCCCCCTGCCTTTATAAGCTCTCCTGCATGAGATGTGATGGCTATCTGCTCTGCTCAGCCATGGAAGCAAGTGATAAACTGATGCTGATTGATTTTTGAACAAGGGTGAAGAAAGAATGTTTTTTTTTTCAAACAGAGACCAGGGAGCAATAATTTTCCATCCTCCATCCTCCTCATCCTCAGGCCTTCCTCTCCCCCCTTCAATGACAGGGCTGTGTGTGTTGCAGGCGGCGTGGGGCCGTGGAGATGCTGTCAACTTGACAGCGAAATGGGAATGGATGGGATGAGAAAGTGGGGAAAGTGGGCTTTAGGCCTTTTCTTTGAGGCAGTCGAGGCTTTATCTCTGTGGGATGCACGGATATAAGAAGCCTCTGCTTGCAGGACTAATGTTTGCACTCCTGTTTAAGGGTTAAAATTAAAGATCCATGAGGGAACGTTGTACAAAATACATAAAAATGACACAAGGGCATTTGTTCAATGTAAAAATCTAGAATGCACAATGAGATGTTACTTCAGAATATATGTTTTTATTCTCTATAAACAGATTCTGCATTTGAATATAGAGAATTGGAAGCTTTCTGGATAACATATCTAGTTTTACCAATCACATTTGGCTGTGCAGTTAAATAGTGGAGAGGAAAAGAGGTGGAACACATTGAATGAAATGCATCGGCTGTTGGCTTTTTTAATTTATCTGCCTAATGTCCCACTCGTGTTACAAAAGAAACCAGTCAGGCTGTAAAACGAGTCTTGGTCCAGATATCTGTTGTCTACAAAATAAACCCACATATCGTCCATTGCCCATAGAGGCTAATTCATTGTCAGACGATAGCAGAAGACAGACACGTTTTCAGTCACTGTTTTATCCTTTTCTATTGTTGTCTTGTGGTTTTTCTACTGTGGTTGCGTTTTATTACATTATTTCAACATCTATCAATCTAAAGGGATGTGTGGTGTGTCTTTAATATGCATCAAATGGCCTTAAATGTCTATTGATTTACTGTGGTTGGTATTTAAGATTATTCCTACTGAGACTCATTATTTTACTTGATAATGAATAATGAATATAGACAAACCCATAAATATCAGTCTCATGAATATCTTCATTAAGATTTCTTCTCTGAGAAGTAATTGAAAATGTTGAAAAAAGGCCTATTTCACAATGTTGAAGAAAGTGATCTGTATCCCTTCACTAAGTTCCCTGGAAGTCTGTCTAGTTGTTTTTCTGTAATCTTGCTTATAAACCAACCAACCAACAAACAAATGGACAGTAGTGAAAACCTTGTTGGAGGTAATGACACTTCATTTGTATAATTTAAAACAGTTGTAGGTGCAATAAGATGCAGCTTCATCCAAGTCACTGTTTTACTTTTTTTGTTTAAATCACAACTGATATTTTGACACGTCGCAGCAAGTGTAAATAACAAAATTAAAGATGGCTGACTTCCATTTAGCTGCTTCAGTTTAAGAGCCCTGCATTCTTATACTGAGACATTTAAATAGAACTGAACCGTGGTTAATAATGTTAGTTACACCTCTGCTTTCTCCTCCATTTTGCCATGAGGCAAAGTGTAAGAACAGGTAGAGTATGTGTATGGTGTGTTTTATGGCTTTAAAACAGCTCTGATGTGTTTTATCGCTCGCTCACGGCTCCATATGCTCGTTTTATTTTACACCGGCTCGTGTGCTTGTGTTTTGGAAGCGATAGTGATTACAGGCTTGTAAGTGGCTCCATCTGAGACATCATTAGTTTAGGCTCCCACAGTTTAGCCTGGACGACCGGGCCTGGTGGGGCTCCTCCGATCTGTGCCAGTAAATCTGCCGCTGACACTGAAGGATCTGCGGCCACATGATGAGAGATGATATCCGAGTTAAATTGAATGCAAACAAATTAACCATGTGTTTATATCGAGCAGGATACAGATGGTGGTGTATTTCTTAGTATATCTAGAGTTGAAGGAATTAGGCTATTTACAGAAATGATCGGTTACTGTGGATTGACAACATTTACATCCTGTTTTTGAGGACAGACATCAAATATTTTCTATCAATGTTTAACAAAGTGAATATGTTTAGGTTTTAGACAAAATGGCTCTGAAATAGTGGCATAGACCTCTGTCACTATTTCCTTACATCTTGCAAGATGAAAGGATTGACTGTTGAGAAATTATCAGTAAAATAAAAAACTGCGCCCATGAAACAATGAAAAAACCACCCTTAAACAATTTATAAATAAGATCTCAATATTATATCAAATTTGGCCCACTCATTAACAGACACTTATGTTTGCTTTATCTGCACCTTTAAACAAACAAGGATGCTATTTTACTGGTGTCACAGATTAAATTCATTGTAGAGCTGAAGGTTTGCCTGAAGACAAACTTTCCAATTCACTTCGGCAGACAGAAAGGATTTAGTTTCTTTCATATCTTCTCTAATCTGACTTTAAGGAGCCGATTAAAATAAACATTTACCCGTCCTATTGTATATTTAAAGCTGAAACTCTCACTGAGGACACTTGGTTTCCTATTTGTCTTAACTTGGGGATTTCAAACAACTTAAAGAGCCGTATTCTTTTGTTCTGTTATTCCTCACGGTAGAGGTTTTAAAGGCTGACATTGTTAAGCCAAACTTACTGTCTAGTGTTAAGTTAAAAATACAGAAATGAATAAGAAGATAGTGACGGTTCATTCATTCTCCCTCGGAATTATTTTCTAGGAGCGTGGAGATGAAATTTACAGAGAATAGGTTGACATTTAAATGCAGGGAGAACATGGGTAAGCCCTGTACCTGTGGACTTGTATTAAATGCTTCGTAGCAACCTTTAAACATTTAAAGCTCCGTCATGTCTATTAGAACCTGTCAGACCTTGTTTTGGCCACAGTGAGCTCTGCAGAGATGTTTCTCATTCTCTGTCTATTGTTTCCCTGCACCGCAAATTCAAAGTGACATGTTGTTTTATTCCAGGCTGACCCGAGGCTCATGGAGTCTTAATACAGAAACATATTGATGTGGGTATCAACACGGAACTGTACCAGTCAGGGGATTTTATGATCTTCAGGATAAGTGTTTTTTCAAAGAGGCGATGTGAGACTGCAGCAGACACATACAATGGACATCAATTTGTAGCTTCTTCTCAATTTCAAGCTTCATTCGTTTTATTGCACATTGCCTCTACACCCGTAGTTGTTCAGTTTCTCAATTTAGGAATGTTTACGGCTTTTATTTGATTAATCCACGATGTGAACTTTATGTTTTTCCTTTGATAATGTTAGTGTAATATTTTTCAAACCTGACATTTAACGCTACAGTCACAAATTTACATTCTAGTGCAGGATTCTGCGGCCTTTAAATGACATATTGAAGAGATGTCAACGTGCATTATCGGATGAAAGCATAAACAGAAAAGACCTGTACAGTGATGTTCTTTCATCACAAACTAGTGTCTCATCCTCTGCATCATTATCTCAGTCACATTAGATTCCAGTCATGGTGATGTGCTGTAGCTCTTCACCGAGGCACCTCCGTGACAAAAACATTACAAATCACCCTCACAGTGAAGGCCTCGATATCTCGTCCTGTAAGTTACTGCTCGGGTCCGTCTGTGACTCAGCACAGAGCACATGCTGGGCAGATGTGGAAATGCAACAAGTGTAGTGTGGAAAGGCTTGTTTGTGGTGTTTTAGCAGTTTCCGGGAGGAGACATTTTGTCTTGAGGGTGCTGAGAGGTTTTTTTTACACAAAATATGATAATTTTCATAATTTTTCAGTTTTGTGTGTTTTCATTGACGTTTTAAATCCCTTCAGTTCTGCAGTAATTTCAAATCAATTTCTTTGTATTTGTTTTGCATCTCTTTGGGATTCTTCATGCTTTTTCTGGATGTTTGATCAACTTTCCAACAAGAAGTGTTCACAGGTCACCAGAAATGTGTAGTGTTGCACCAAAAGTATCCTTTATCTTTTCCTTGACATGACTGGATGATAAAAAGAACACTGACTACTTTCTATTTCCACTTTTTCTCCAGACAAGAAAGGCCTGTTGTCAGTCGAGTGAACTGAAAGTCAACTCTTCAAATCTCGGAGGTGTATCCTGAACGTTCAGGAGGCCTCTTCACACAACCTTAGACCACCTGTGTGTCTCCTGAACCTCTTTAAAATGGAGGAAGGCTACCAAAACCGGACTGCTTTCATTAAAGGTGCCAAAGACATTGCCAAAGAGGTCAAGCGGCAAGCCTCTAAGAAGGTTGGGCGTTCAGTGGATCGGATGACCGATGAATATAGCAAGCGCTCCTACAGTCGCTTTGAAGAGGACGATGACGACGACTACCCAGTGCAGGGCAGCCAGGATGGAGGTTACTACCGTGGAGACAGCCAGGCGGCCAATGACGATGAGGGCGGCCACAGTGACTCCACAGAGGGTCACGATGAGGATGATGAGATCTACGAGGGCGAGTACCAAGGAATTCCCAGGGCTGAGTCGGGCAAAGGCAGCCTGGCTGGTGGGCCGGGCTCCGTGGATGTCGGCGCTCAGCAGTTCAGAGATATCGGGGTGTCCGAGGCCGAGAGGAGGAAGGACCAGGAGGTGCTGGCTCAACAGTACGAGACCATTTTGCAAGAATGTGGTCACGGGAAGTTCCAGTGGACCCTGTACTTTGTGCTGGGACTGGCTCTCATGGCCGATGGTGTTGAGATCTTTGTGGTCGGCTTTGTCCTCCCCAGCGCTGAGAAGGATATGTGCCTGTCTGAACCGAACAAAAGCATGCTGGGTAAGACACCACCAGGCTACTGTGTGATCATGAGTAAATCACAACATACAAAGCCTCTGTGGTAAAGCATCAAATGTGTATTAATCCACTGCTGAAAATGATCCCAAACAAATACAATAACATTTTTTGCATTTAGATCAGTAACAGTCACATGTTCTTTGCTCTTTCTCCTCAGGTCTGATCGTATATTTTGGGATGATGGTAGGGGCTTTCCTCTGGGGGGCTCTGGCTGACCGGATAGGCCGTCGGCAGTCTCTTCTCATCTCGCTCTCCATCAACAGCATTTTCTCCTTCTTCTCCTCCTTCGTCCAGGGCTACAGCACCTTTCTGTTTTGCCGGCTCCTCTCAGGTGTTGGGTAATTGCAAAATATAATTTTTTTTATAATTCTAGGCCAGTTACTAAAGTAAACACACTTGTAGTGTGTGTTGGAGGCTATGGTTAAAAAAAATAAATCAGCAAAATATCTGTTTCAAGAATATGTATCACAAAATCATTATACTAATCATTCAAATGAATTTATGTGATGCATGAGATTTAATCATTTTAATGTTAACAGAAAAAGGATTTTATTATTAAATGTATTCTTAGTTTGCAATCTTCACTCTCTTCAGTCTTTACATTATTAAAAACAGCAGCTTCTCTGGTGGAGCGAAGCGGCAAATTGAGATTCTGCAGTTGTTTCCCTTCACATTTAAATCAATCACTTTCCCACTGAGCCTCTCTCAGTTAGTTTTCCGCCACAGTGATGGAGAAATGCAAGTGAGGAGAAATCTAAAGTCACGCCAGCTCTGGTGGCCAGACAAAACAAACCACTGCAGTAAATTAAAGTTTGGAAGTTGCTGACTCAAGCGACACCACTTATCTCAGAAGAAGTGATTTGCTCTCACGTGTGGGATGATATCATGTCCGTCATGTTTATCATACAGTTGTTTAAAGTAAACAAGTACCTGATGTTCTCAGCCTCTCTGGACCATTTCAAAATGTCTGGGCTTCAGTGCATGTCTGAGAGCAGGTCAATGTGACAACCTCAATTCTGTATGCATGTCTCGATTTTTCTGCTCCTGGCTCAGTTGGTTTCTGATCTTTGCAGGATCGGTGGATCGATTCCCATCGTGTTTTCCTACTATTCTGAATTTCTGTCCCAAGAAAAGCGCGGCGAGCACCTCAGTTGGCTCTGCATGTTCTGGATGATCGGGGGAATATACGCATCTGCTATGGCCTGGGCTATTATCCCTCATTACGGTGAGTCCAGTAACATGTCCCTGAAATGAAGGTTACAGTTGGTTACTTCTGCACTGTTCCAAACTAGCTGAGCATCCTTTAACAGTCAAATCACAGACATGGGAGTGGTGTCAATCTTAAAGAAACAGGGAATACTTTGAGAATACTTCCCAAAATGTCAGAGAATATTCTTTGAAATGTATCTTTATAATCTCTGGTTTTGGCAGCAGATGGTAGGAAAATGCAGGTTCGAGCTCATATTTGGGCAAATGTCTGTCCTCAGACACGGTGCTTCATGAAGATTGACAGTCCAACCTTTTCTGTTATTGGCTGAGGTGTAATAAGGTGTTGCTTTGTTTCTGTCACCTCAGGATGGAGTTTCCAGATGGGCTCGGCGTATCAGTTCCATAGCTGGCGTGTGTTTGTGTTGGTGTGCGCATTTCCGTCTGTTGCTGCCATCGCCACCCTCAGCGCCGTGCCAGAGAGCCCACGCTTCTATCTGGAGGTCAGCGAATGCGCTCGCTAAGAATTAGTCCCTTGCTGGCAGTAGTCGCTGGTTTTGCTTGTACTAACATGGCTCCTGAAACCAAATTGATAAAATATATACTGCAAGGCTGTGTGCTGTATGACCTTCACCTTTTTCTCAAACAGAACGGTAAACATGACGAAGGCTGGATGATTCTGAAGCAAGTTCACGACACAAACATGAGAGCAAAGGGACACCCAGAGAAGGTGTTTTCTGTAAGTATACCACAGCAGGCGTGAAAATACACTCTGGAGACCTACCTCATGTACTTTCCTTAGAATCACTGAACAATAATAAAACCTTTGAAAAGCTCTCAGTAACCTTTTCTCTTTCATCCCAGGTCACCACCATCAAGACGGTGAAACAGATTGACGAGTTGGTGGACACTGGCACCGACACTCCGGTTTGGCAACGCTACAGACTGAAGATTATGAGCCTCTCCCAACAGGTGAGTGAAGCTGAGGGAGGAAACAAAATACCATGTCATAGCCTTTTAAATTTTTTGCAATACCTGTAGATACTACCTCACTTTCAGAAAGAAAGGGAAGATGTATTTATCTTAATGCAATCTACAACCTCACCACTAGTTGCTTCTAAATCCAACACACTGGTCCTTTAAGACGGAATTAATACAACTAACTGAAACAAATACGTGTTTCTGGTAATTGTTAGTATTTATATACGTGACTTAATCAATGACATTGATTTTACCTTTGTATTTGGTTTTCCTGCATTTAAACATGTATCTATTTATTGTATTGTACATTTCTACAGCACCGTTGTGCCTGATCTTAATTTGCATTCAGCCTACATTCTGCTACACACATGCCTACAGCCTCCATCTTCTTCTGTATCTGCTACTGCACCGCCTACCTAACGCCTTCTGAGGAAAGCTAGTTTTCAAGTTGCATATTTCTGCTCAGGAATATCAAATAAATATCACATCAAACTATTAAAGAGCTTAGAACTGTGCATCAAAATTGTCATTTGATGAACCATGCCTTTATTTTGAGTGTAAATGAGGTCTTCCTAACCTTCCTGTTAACATTTCAGATTCGTAACAACATTCTCGCCTGCTTCAGCCCTGAATACAAACGGACTACATTCATGCTCATGGCTGTTTGGTTCACCATGTCTTTCAGGTAAACTTCAAACTCAAAGAATCTTTGCTGTTGCATTTTCACTTTTGATCCTTACTCGACCCGTTCTCCATTCACAACTCTGCAGCTATTACGGCCTGACAGTGTGGTTCCCAGACATGATCAAGTACATCCAGAAGCAGGAGTATGAATCAAAGACAAAGACCTTCACCAAGGAACGGGTGGACCACGTCACTTTTAATTTCACACTGGAAAACCAAGTGCATCGCCAAGGGCACTACTTCAATGACAAGTGAGTGTTGTGTGGTATTGTTAGATTTAGTACCACAGAAAAATGTGCAGATAAGTGATATGGCACTAAAACTGAAAAATGTTTCCTGTTCACCAGGTTCCTCAACCTGAAAATGAAATCGATGGTGTTTGAAGACTCTGTGTTTGAGGAGTGCTACTTCGAGGACATCACCTCCACACACACCTTATTTAAAAACTGCACCTTCGTTGCAAGTTTGTTCTACAACACAGGTAAATATATATCTAATATATCAATGGAAATACATCTGTATTACAGGGAAGATTACATTTTTAATTTCACCTAATCACTAATGCAATTAATGGTTGCGTTTTTGTTTTGAATGTTTTAGTCAGGAACATTTTAAAATTCTCATCCCAAGTTCTGAGCTGAATTCTGAATGTCTGCAGGCATTTCATAAAGCTAGTAAAGCCAATGTGTTTGCCTGTTTACAATTCAGTGGACATGCAGCACTGATCTAATATTCAGTTTGAAAACATATTTGTCTAAGATTGAGATATCTGAGTTTTTTTTATCCTCTGTTAGAATAAAAAACATGATAGGTGCAGCTACTACAGATATAAAACCAACCAAAAATGGCAAATCTGCTCTCAGCACTAATTTCAGCTCAAGTTTAAAAAACAGATTATAATGATCACAACTTAAATTTATTTCAGCTTGAATATGAATTTCAGAAAATTTCATTTTTGTTTAAAACCCACAGCAGCTCAGCAGGACTGTCACCATAGTAACACTCTGATGCTAGTATCCCCTGGTTACGCTGCTGCAGAGCTGTTACCTTAACAACGTAAACAAATTCAGGCCAGAGTCTTTGAAGGCAGAGTTATTGGGTTGGATTGGATGTGAAGCAGTGCTTTGAAAAACAGATGTGAGGAATATTTTTTAACTGGATAATGAGATCCAAAGCTCAAATTTGCACATAAAGATTTGTTTTCTTATATTGAGTCTCAGCATCAGTGTCCTCTACACAGAACCTGTTGATATAACAAGTGTTTTTCTTCAAATATATCAAAAATACCAACAACTAAGAGCTTTTTATTTTCTATACTTCATGTGATCTGTCCCTCTACACAAACATGCACAAAAAAGGTGAATGTATTGTCGGAAGACTGGAACCTAATTGTTTTAAACACAAGCTGTAGTCAAAGGAGTAAATGGACTGCATGTATTTAGTGCTTCTAGTCTTAACAACCACTCAAATCACTTTATACCTGAAACAGCTTTACAAAGCACTCTTGATGGCACAGCTGCATTTTAGGGTTTAATATCCGAGGACACTGACATGTGGACTGGAGGAGCTGGAGCTCAAACCTCTACCTCCTGATCCACGGCCGTAGCAACTGTGTGGTCCTGATTTCTGCTTATGAGCCTTAAAATTAACATGTGAGATTCAAAACTTGGAAAAACATCTGAGAAACTGTGAAACTCTTCCCGTAGCTCTCCCTCCAGTTCTAAGCTTTGACAGATTAGGGTTTTGAATCTCAACATCTCCGATCCAACAATCACAGCAGCACTAACTTCTCATCCCTGAAGCCACAGATACATTATTCTGTCATTCCTGCACCAGAACCTTTATGATCATTCAGCACTTTGTTTTACGTCAGACTCTCTTTAAAAAAACAGTTTTGGTTATTAGTAGCAGAAGATGTAATCAAGCCGTTTTCAGTGAAGTATAAACAGAGTCAGCTCAAGAAGTTGTTTGACCTCTCCTGACATTTTCTGTTGTTTTCCTGATTCACTGTATTTTAAAAAGTCTGGAGGAACAAAAATGATTGTAGCTTAATCTGTTTTTATGTTCAGAATTTTGATGAAAAACAGATGCTCACAGAAGATTGGTTGTGTGGTGGCTGTGCAGATGTCCTGGCTGCTTTTGCAGGGAGATGATTTGTATGCCTTCTTTTTGTCCTTTAGGAAAAGTATAGTCATTTATGCAAGTGTTAGGTTTGGTTTCAGCAGTGGGGGGGGGGAAAGCAGTGAAGTCAAAAAATGAATCACGAAAACTAACAGATCTTAAATCTCTTGTAAATCTTTAAAGGAGACTCATTCTTCTCAAATTCAGGTTCATAAATTAACATTGGGTTATTACTTGCAGAGGTTTACATGCTGTAATGTTCAGAAAACACATGACTTCCCTCATGTCCTCTGTCTGAAACACTCAGCTTCAGCTCCTGTCTCTCTCATGAAGCCCAGTCTACTGTGATTGGTCTGAGAAAGAATCACATGTCTCCTGCAATGCTTCAAATTCAATTCATGGGAAGTTACGCTGATGGAAACCTGATACGATTAAGAGCTCTGTCTTTTTTAGAAGAACGACAACTGCAAATAAAAAGCCAGTTGATTTTTTAAACTCTTGAAAACATACAGAGGTGGTAGAAGTATATTTTCAGCCCTGAGCAGTGTCTGCAGGTATCTCTCTCAAACTGCAAACAATCCCAACCACCTCTATAAATAAGACCTAAATTAAGACCTAATTTATCAGCTTCCTCAAAGATTTATATATATTTCTCATCTTTAGATTTAATATTACAAAGCAATAACACTTTTTATCCCTTTCTTTCATCAGATTTGTTCAAATACAGGTTTGTCAACTGCAAACTGGTCAACAGCACGTTCCTCCACAACAAGGAGGGCTGCATGCTCGACTTCAGCGACGACTTCAACAATGCCTACATGATATACTTTGTCAACTTCCTCGGCACACTGGCAGTGTTGCCTGGCAACATTGTGTCGGCTCTATTAATGGATAAGATTGGTCGTTTACGAATGTTGGGTGAGTAAAACTAATCCTGGATAATTCACTCTGCGACCACGGTGGCCGTTTAACTTTATGTAACTCTGATACCTCTCTCCGATCAGCGGGATCCAGCGTCATTTCTTGTGTCAGCTGTTTCTTCCTGATGTTCGGCAACAGTGAGTCGGGGATGATCGCTCTCCTGTGTCTGTTCGGTGGCATCAGCATCGCCTCGTGGAACGCCCTGGATGTGATAACAGTGGAGCTCTACCCCTCGGATAAAAGGTAGCATGAGAGCAGCTTTTTCCCTCAGAGAAGATCTTATTCTGTGTTGTCTCATGAAGAGACCGCACAGCTGACTGTTATACAGCAGCTGTCTGTCTTTAGTTCTCATTTAAACAATAGCAGTTTTTTAAATTATGTTTGAATTTTGAATTATGAAATGCATATTTTCATTGTAGTTCTATTTCTGTTGTATTAAAATATTGTCATTTTTCTTTTTTGTGGGGAGAAGATCTGCTCACACACATTCACCCTTCTGCCCTTTTGACCTTTTTTCCTGACTTTCTTTTTGGGGAAACTCCAAACTGGAATCAAATCTAAATTTCAATGCAGTCAAAGCTGAGCTGTTTCCTCTTATTAAGTCATATACAAAAGGATGATTGATAATTTATAGGTTCTGCTTTTGAGTAAAAAAACCCTTAGTGGTGGTATTTACTGTCACACGTTTTACATTGAGAGGATCATTTTATTCGACTACTTGGCTACACACTTTTTATATTGTTGCTCTGAATATTATATATATCAATATGTTTTTTCCTTCTATTTATTGATTTTACAACAAAGAGGTTGAAGCAGTAGAAAAGTAGTCAAATCCCTGAGGATGGATCAGTTTAAAGTATTGTTAAATGTATTTTAACTGTGTTTCTCCCTCTCTTCTCGTCTGTAGGTGCACAGCGTTTGGCTTCTTGAATGCTCTCTGTAAGCTGGCGGCCGTCCTGGGCATCAGCATCTTCCAGTCATTCGTTGGCATCACCAAGGCCGTTCCCATCCTATTTGCTGCCGGCGCGCTCGCTGCAGGTAGTTTCCTTGCAACCAAGTTGCCTGAAACGAGAGGCCAAGTGTTGCAGTAAAGCAGGTGACCAGCAGTGGGCAGGAGAGTACAGCTGGAGTGTGTTTGACCACTAGAGCCCAAACATTCCTGAGAGCTTCAGCTGCTGCCCATCACACACCAACAGAACAGACTGCCACCCCCATTGTAAGCCCAGAATCCTCTGAAATATGGATCGCGTCTTTCAAAGTCCAAACAGACCCACAGAGATTAACAGATGTAGAGATAAACACCGGTGTCATGGTAACTCGACTACATCCAAAAACACTTTATTTCAGCCACCAGGTAAAAGTAATCTGATCCTTTGCGGATGTGTTATACTCACAGGCTGATGTGGTAGAAGTGGAAACGTGCTGTTATGATAAAATGCCCATAGATGTACCGTGAAACGACAGAGTGGTCAAATGAAACAGAAAAAGGCATATTTGGGGGAACGTGTGCAAAGATTTCCAGATGTATGTGATTGTGTTTTTATTTCTCATCCGTCCACAGTCTCAGTGACTAGTTTTCACTGCTGCTTTTTAATCTGAATTTCCTATTCACATGCTCATGAAGTGTTTGATGAATAGTTTTTATTTAAAAAGCCCTCAAAATTAATTTTCAGGTTGATTTACGTTCCTCTAAAAGCGACCATGACCCCTCGCCAACTGCTGAGCACAAATAGAAGATTCACTCATAAACAAAGAGTGGAACTCTCCCTGTATAAATCCAGTCTGTTCCTCTTTGTACAACCAAACACTGGTGAAGTTACATTTCACAGGATTCTCAGTTGTAAATGGGAAAAGTTTGATCCAGTTCCTGAGTGTTCAGTGTTAAACGTCTGTTCTTTTGTCAATTTTGGTCAAGTGCTAAATGTGAGAGCAGATACAAAAGCATAATATTTGATGAATTATTTGCGTGTGTGTGTTGAATGTGAGTGTGTGATTGCTTATGTACACAATGATTTATTCCTTTAAGCACCAACATTTCCTGCAATTCAGTGCAGCCATACTTTTCAGTCATTTAGAGATTTGGTTGATCCAACAGCAGAATGTACGGACCAGCGGTTTCATAATTTTAGGCTAATTTAAAATATATATTGATATTTCTCATGCAGTAGCTGAGGTGTGGTGAAATGCTGCTAATGATATATTTTAGCACCACTGCACTGAATAACTGGACATGCAGGATTATTTTTCCATCCCTCATGCATTGCAGCATTAATCAGCCTTAAGATGAATTAATAACTCTTTTGATTTAGGTCATTTTGACATTGGAAATAGTAGTTATGCAGAAAAATATTAAATCAAAAGCCTGTCGCAAGACCTTTTTTTCAAAGCTTTCAACTTAACCTTGCATGCTCAGTTGTCACGAGGAATGAAAGCTCAGAGAAAAGTGGAAATTCATGTAAGATTTTTTTTTCCGCTAATTGTCTTTATCGGTTCAAAACAACTGAAAACAACACACATTTCTTTTATGCTCCTTAGACCTCATGACCTGACGTCATTGGCCTCATAAGCACACATTAAACAGGACCAAAAGAAGAATAAGTTGTTCAAAAGAGTTGGCTCGATCAGGCAGAGAGGCACAATCAGAAAACAGAGATTACAAAGTCACTTGTCCAATTTATTTTAAGGGCTTAATTAAAGGAGTTCAGTCATTCCTTCACTCCAGTTATCAAACGTGCTCCTGCATGATGCTGATATCAACCGTCTTTAACAGTATCAAACCTACTTTACAGATTGTCTGTTGTAAATTTGATCTCGATTGGACACAATTACTCTCGAAGGGAAGATAATTGAGTTGCTTATACATATCACTACTTCGGTATTATTTCTCCAAAGGTGTACATCAATATGTGTGCTGACAATCAGTGAATGAGTACATGAGCGGTGGTGGTGCTGCCACTTGGTGGAGTGAAATAATTTTGCCCTAAAAACGTCATCTGGATTGTGTGTGTGTGTGTGTGTGTGTGTGTGTGTGTGTGTGTGTGTGTGTGTGT